AAATAAATACATAGGACACAAACTTCTAAATACACATATAATTTAAAGACACTAGTAAATAACTCATTATAAAGTATGTCCGAACCGTTCTTCTTCCCTTAACCCTGATCAAGGGGCAGATTTAAAGATGGATTCATTTTTTCCACAGTAAAGTCCCACATCTCTGAGGCTTAGAGACATAGTAGTCTAATCCTACAGTACTCTTCCTTAAGTGACCTGATGACACAGTGTGAGAGCAAAGAGTTGTCTGAACTGCTACTCATGAACTATTTCTCCTCACACTTACAGTGGGGCAAGGAGGAATCTGACAGTGAGTTTCTCCCCTCTCGTTCAAGGAGCTGTGCAGCAGAAGCTTCCAACTCCATCTCCACTCAGCCCACGTTTGTCCACTTGGGAGACCCGGGCCACAGGATGTCACATCTCATGGACTGGTAGCCTCCAAAGTGGGAGTGACCCTCAGGAGGGGCAAGATTATCCATGGAGGTATGAATGAAGAAATTGTTCAGAATCCCTGTCATCTAAGACTGTGCTTTCCTCATTTTTAATTAAGATATACTCAATAAACTTGAGGACATAAACACACAGAAAGCATATATTATTAAAGGTTTGCTAATAAGAATTCACAGTACAAGTATTTAAGACTACTTTATAGAATGATTTTAAGGAGGCAAAAGGCACAGTGGTAATAATAATAATCTCTTATTCAAAGTGGCCTATCCCTGATGGATTTTTTTTTTTTTTTTTGGTGAACTCAGATGCAGCCACAGAATCGTTCCTTAAATACAAAGCTACAAGAAGCTGTCAATTGTTCAGAAAATTGCCAACTCCAGTCTGGCCAATACTCCTTATCTCTTTATTTTCCCTCATAGATAATATTCTCTTAATAGGAGACTGAGTCTTTTTTTCATGGTGAAATTATTAGAACAAATCTGTTATTGTATATAAAACACAAATGGCTGACATCAGATGTATCTCAAATAGATTTTCTATAGAGTTGAATGAGAGTCTAAGAGCACCATAAACTTTCAGAGAATGGAGGTAAGGCTAGAGAAAGAGGCTGGAAGAACCCAAACTCTATTTAGATTCTTTCTCATTCTAAACAGGATTTGAATTTCCATAGGGCTGCCATTTTGAAAAAAATCAAAGAATAGAGGGGAAATTGCTATGAAAATGATATGATCTAAGTAATTAGTAAAGAATTACTTTTAAACAGAGAATATTTCCTTTACATCAATACAAAAAAGTTTTCTTTGCCTAGCATAATAATGGTGGGAGCCATTGAAATAATGCATTTTAATTATGCTTTTAAAATATTTATCTTTAGTTTATGTATTTTATATAAACATTTTTAATTTTTAAATGTATGTATCTTATGTAGGTAAAGTTATTTTAAATTAATTTTCCATCCACTTTTGGAAACAAGAAGATATCAGTATGAATGATCCCAAGAAATTATCCTTTAGATCTAAAATATGCTTAACAAGTGCCTGAAATTATTGAGAAAACATCTAATATGACTCAGTAGATTCATCTGGCGTGGAGTGTGGGTTTCTGCACTTATGAGGAGCCACCTGTGATACGGATGCCATTCACTGGCAAACCTCACTCTGAGTTGCCAAGGAGAAATGTCTTTCCTTCTTAAGCCTGAAAGCTCTCACACTCCTCTAGGTAAACTTGCTCTAAGTTCAGGAGTCAATGTGATGTTAGGATGCTTCTGCTGAGCTTGCAGCTCTGCAGGGTACAGAGCTACAGAGCATGAAAACCACCCTTACTGCCCTGGGCATGACGACAAGCATTCAAATAGCTTTGTTAAGACCCTGAATGGTATGACAGGAAACATCCTTAGAAATACAGAAGGCAAATAAATATCACAGAAAGAGCAAAAAAAAAAAGTCATATTTCTGCTGAGTTTTGGGGCAAACCAAACTGGCACATTATAGAAACCACCCAAGAATGGATTAAAATGGACACAATTTAATGGAAAATCACATCTCTAAGTCCATCTTTACTTTGATTTTCTTGATACCATGGAATTTCATCTTGTTTGGAAAGGCAAGTAAAAGATTAAAATAAGTTAAATACTTGTTGTAAAACCAGGCTGACCCCACGGCCAGTGGTTGAGTGAATTAGGTCAGCTACACCCATGACTGAGAGGGTACTTCATTTAGTACAGCCTCATCCTTGTCAAGTACTTCCTGAGGCAGAATCTCGTCTTGCCCAAAGACACTGGAATATCATGTGAAATTGTATGGTTCTGTTTCCATTGTTAGAAGATAGAAAGAATAGTAGACAGAAGAAATACTGGGGTTGGATGAGAAGCTTGGGAAGAACACAGCCTCTAGACATTTGACTCTTTAGGGACCTCCTTTGAAATCCCTTTCCTTTATGAAAGATCTTCTGTGTATTTCATTCCTTTGCTCATTTCAGAAATGTACACAGCAATACAAACATGCCAGGCATCTGCTCTACAATGGTGAATGAAATGTGCAAAACAGAGAGCTGGCTCCTCCTTGTCGTCAATTTCTTACCTAGACAGAGGACACAAAGATGTTACTGAACTCAACACAAAACAAGTAACTATACTGACTGCCTGTCCTAATGGTGGTTCCTTCATTGTTCTTCTTGGTGTATATTGACTCCATTTCCTTCCTCTTCTCATTGTCAAATATCTTTTTGTCAGAGCCTGAGGCCTCATAGCTATATACAGAATGCCTAGAGAGCCCTGTGTTGTAGCCCATGGGAGAGTTAAGATTCTAGTTTTTTATGGCTCTCTCTTCAATACAGTTGGATTACCTCTCACTGACCTATAAATCACCTTTCTAGGAACTCAACTAAACAGGTAACAACAAACTATATGTGTGGAGAAAGACCTCCATGCACAAAAATATTTGGTATAATTTAACATAGCAAAAATATAACTACAAATGAGAGATATTCATTTAATAGGGGACAAAATTAATTTAATAGAGGAACTAAAGAACCATTAATTCCTGAAATGCAATACTATTGTAAAAAATTATGTCATACACACTCCATAATGGAAAAATATCTGTAAGGCATTGCTGCTTTTACAAAGGGAGTTATAGTTTGTATAAAAGTAACTCAGTTATTTACTTATGTAATAATGTATGCACGTGTTTGTTTATATATAACATGCATCTTCATTATGTATGGATACATTTGCATCTATCTGTGTGAGGGTGCTTCAAAATGTTCACAAAAAACTCAATTAAAGGTTAAGTTTATTTTAGTATAAAACTTTTTAATTCCTTCTGTAGTTTTCTTCATAATACACATTTTTCATGAACTTTTTCAAGACCTCTAGAGTGCTTGGATTTCGAAAGTTTTCACACCAAAATAAACTTATTTTTAATTCCATTTTCCAAAAACGTTTTGAGATACCCTCTTAAATGTTATTTTTAATTCAGGAAGAATTCTCTCCACACATACATGCTTATCCTATATCCCAGTCATCAGTGGGGCTAATGAGGAACTCAAGATGAGAGGAAGAACACCGTGATATCCCCACCTTGGGCAGTTAGCATATTTGCACTGAAGCTGGGACCTTCAAGGCTCAAATCAGGGATTAGCGTGGATGTTAGAGGCATGCCAGTAAGTGAGAGATTCAGGAGCAGGAAAGTCTCTGCACATCTCGAGTCACCCCCTACAAATGTCAAAATATGAGGCTGTACAAGGCACACAGGTAAATGGAGACATCTTAAGGATACATTATCTTCCCCTGACTGCACCAGTGACCTGTACTTGAACGGTGGCAGTCATGAATTCAAGAGTTATTTTAATAAAGTGAACTCCTGTAGGTAATATTTAGGCATCTATCCAAATTCTTTAGCTAAATACCCTTTTTTTAGCTCTTCTGTTCTTGTTAATTTCTTTTCAGACAGGTGTAAGGCTTTATTAAGCACTCAATACCTGTGGAGTTGCACACGTCTTTGTGAAGATCACAGACAAATTAGAAAGTCAAATTAGCAATGCATATTTAATACTGCTTTCTAGGTTTTTTAAACATTGGCAGCAATGTTTACTCTTAGAGTGTGTTTATAATTATGCAAATTGGAAAAACAGTCCACATATGGTATAATGATAATGTCTTAGGTTTTATATCCAGAGTCAAAGCATTTCTAAATATTTCTTTAATTTTACCCATGTGTTCAGACGAGGTTATCCAAGGTTGAGTATCTACTTTCTGTAGTTATGATGTATGTATGGTTTTGGAACTTAGCTTTCTCTATAAGCTTTCATAATAAAGGAGATTTGTTGACACACTTATACCAGCACATTACAACAGATATTATTGATTTCCTTCACAATAATCCTTTTTTCTCCTCTTAAGAAGGAGAAAATATATCACCCAATATATCCTCTCTGCTCTAGGCAGCTGCATGCTTTAGGAGATGTTGGTCCCATCCTTAACCTCATGAAGGAACTAACGATCCCTTTAAGAAACTCCTATGAGGCAGTACAATTCACTAGGGATCAGTTTAGGCAGGGGTAAGTGAAACAGTTCTAGTCAATGAATGTGAGTGCAAGTTTTCTGAGGCTTTTCAAAAAAGACTGATCAAAGAGATATAGAAAAGAGACATCCTGCTGAAGATGTCAGAACTCAGATTACAGTGATATTGATCAATTCCATTAGCCCCTATGGACCAACTGTACTTCAGGACTTATCATTATGAGGGCTAATATTATTTTCTTCTTATTTAAACCATCTTGAGTCTGCATTTTAAGGATCTGCAGTTTCTGAATCGTCAACGAGAACCCATAATTGAGTGATATTCATTCATACCATGACATTTCTAATACTGTTCTTGTGCATACATATAACAGACAATTTCATCCGCATCCTTAGCATCTGATTTACCAATGAAGTCATGTTACTTCCTTAAATGTGTTGGAGGAAGGAATGTTGGAATAAAACTTATCTTGGCACTGGAGAGAAGCCTGTATCTTATAACCAATGAATAACAGGAAACACTACTCACTGTTCAGACTGTTGCTTTCACTGAAACAAATGTCACCAGTCAGTCCTGATCTTCCTATCGAAACAGCCTGAAAAACATCAGAGAAAATAAAAAACAAAATATATAATCTCATTTTGGCATCAGGAAGTAATCAAGTATTTTGCCCTTTTCTCTCCAGCTGGATGGTTCCAACTTTAAACAAATGCCATGGAGCAGGCTGGACATTTCCCCAGGAAGTTGTTCCAATAGGAATGGTCTATTCCTACCAGGGAATCAGGTCTGCCACTTCATCTGCCCCCATCCAGAATGCCAATCATGTTCACATAAACCCCAAGTTAAATGCTTCATTGCTCCATGAAATGCGTATTGGTCCAGCCACTCTGCATTTCATCTTCTTTGTCACATTGACTGAGTCAGGAACGACTATGGTACTTGCTTCAGGCTGATGAAAGCCAGCCCTTCAACTTGTGTTTAAAATGTAAGGGCTGTGTTTAAAATGTCTTTATACTGTACTTGAGATGGCAAGAGTGGATTCATATACTTGGAGTTTCTGGAAATCAACAAAGGATCTGATATTGCAGTATTGAGTGTACCCACCCGATTTTATTTGGGCCTCTCAATTCAGCCATTAATCAAACACCTGAATTATTCAGATGTATGAAATTTTGCTTTCTTTTTTTACTTTTTGCCTAACCTATTTCTCCCTTCACCCCTGACTTCGGTTAGCTGAATTTTCTATCTCTTCCCATCAGAACTTCTCACTAATACAGAGTGATAGGGCAGGTATAATAGCCCTCACTTTACAGAGTATGACAAGGAGTTTCAGAGGGGGGGAGAGAGAATGGGGAGGTCTAGGACCCCTATTTAAGGCTCCTTCCATTTCCTTCTACCATCTATTCATTCACTGACCTGTTTCACTGAAATGTGAAGTGTTAGCACACTCGTCGCTGTCTTTAGTGACTTCAAACATTTCTACTTTGGGGAAGACAGTAGTCTTCACAGGGTCACCATGGAACATAGTATCCTTTATTTTAGTAAAGATTACACACACACATACCCCAAAATGCCACAATAGGTTCTTTCTTAAAAACTTCGTTTATTTCAAAGTCAGAGTTAGAAGGAGAGGCAGAGGCAGAGAGAAATAGAGAGACAATATCCCATCTGTTGGTTCACTCCCCAAATGGTCACAGCTCTCAGGTCTGGCCCAAGCTGAAGCCAGGAGCCAGGAACTCCATCCAGGTCTCCCATGTGGGTTCAGGAGCCCAAGAACTTGGGGCATCTGCTGCTTTCCCAGGCACATTAGCAAGGAACTGGATCACAAACGGAGCAGCCAGGACTTGAACTGGCACCCATATGGGATGCCAGCACTGCAGGCAGTGGCTTTACCTGCTATGCCACAGTGACAGCCCCCACAATAGGTCTTTAAGTTTTTTATTAACATATTTGAAAAGCCAAGAGGGGTGGGGGAGAGAGCTCTTTCTGTGGACACACACACACACACACACATACAGATCTCCTATCCACTGGTTCATTCTGCAACTACCTACAACAGTCTAGACTGGAACAGGTCAAAGCCACTATCTAGGATTCCTATCAGGTCTCTCATGTTGTTTGTCAGGAACCCAAGTACTTGAGCCATCAACTGCTGGCTCCCAGGGTGCATATTAGCAGGGAGCTGGAATGTAGAGCCCAGGCCTTCTAACATACAATGCCGGGAAACAGCCCCAGTCCCATCTTAACCGTTGTGCCAAATACCCTTTTCTGAAACACGTGCTTCAGCTTTGGGCAGATTTGTCCAACCAGACTGCGCTCTGGCTGGTTGAATCCCTCTCTCCCCAAAGGACTACTGCCCTAGGTTGATGGACAGCCTTTTCTACTTCAGTGTCATCCTCTTGATCTGATCATCTCCATGGCAGTTCTGTACAGCCTGTGACTGGGCTGATCACAAAAAGACTAACTCTCTGCCCAGCAGACTGACTTACCCTGAGTGAATCATTCTCATTATGAGGGCTAATATCAGGTCCCAAGCAGCAAGTCTGCAGCCCAAACGTCAGTTCTTCATGTGCTTTCTTTGACATACATTATGTGTACATGCATGTATCAGTTGAGCTACACTTATACATTTTAAGAATTAAAGAGTTAGTTTTCAAGCTTGCTATAAAAACACAACTCAGCTGCGTTGTCCAGCGCTCTCTGGATTCCCACATGACCATATGGGCTGCAGCTGAGCTGTGTCTACATCTTTCAGGCAGAGCCGTTGGCTTCCATTGCCTTGTTCCTCATCCACCTCTTTCACTCATTTCTGCCACCTGCCTGACTGCTCCAAGCACATGTGTTTTCAACCCCACCTTAGCTTTCACTATTTGGAGCTAACCCAACTGAAATGTCACCTTGCCCTCCAGTGGCCATGTCTGGAAGCAACCTGTGTCCAACCAGCTTCAGCCCTGCCTGCCCCGCGGTCTCCAGTTCCTCTATACAGAAAATGGCATCACCGTGTGATTTTATTTTTCCTTACCCTTGCTCTACATTCCTAATCCTCTGCAGAAATGTGAATTATTTAAGTCAGAAAAGAAGTGCTTATAAATGCTCTTGTGAAAATTAAACTGCGCTGTTTGCAGGGGCTGGGACTGCAGGGAAGCTTGTGGTCTGTTTGCTGTGTACTTGATGCAGCCGCAGCAGACTGGGTCCGTCTGTGATTCTTCCTAACTTACTTGCTTCTATTGACCTTAGCTTCCCTCTGTCAAATCAAGAAGCTGTGCTAGATCGGAAGTTGCAAACTGTTTGGCATAGATCGTATGCAACCAACAGATAGTATTTTTTTCTGAAATTATTTAGATGCCAATACAGCCAAAGAATGGTATTTGAATCAACAATCCCATTTCCAGGGTTCTTGGAACTGACTAGCAACAATCAACAATGATCTGGCCTTCCTGTATGATCATGTGGTTATGTGGGATATGTGGTTTGCCCCATCTTCACTCACCTCCTAGAGCACACGCACACACCCTTATCACCTGGTTCATTCATTGTTGCCCCTGCATAACCTCAGAGACATTGGCCCTCACAACTAGGGACTCTTTTGTACTTCTGTGAGTGGAGGATGGTGCTCTGAGTGTTAGGGTATTTGGAAAACAAGAAGTGCTCCAAGCAAAAGGATCACACTGGAGCCTTCCAGTAAACCTTCAGGAATAGCTACTCCTCCCTACTTGTCCAAGAGTTTAAACAGCAAGACGCCCAGGCCTTTATGAAGGTCCCCATGCATGGTTAAACCTGAAAAGGCAACAGTCGGGTTCTGAAAGTAGCAGAAATATTCTTCCATTGGGGTTGCTTGCTGATTCCTAAGTAATTTGCAATTCAAGTGTCTCTTTGTTTTGTATGAAAATTTGCTGCTATTTGGAAAGTGGGGAAGAGCTAAATTGCATCCTGCTGGTCTTACTTTGACTGTATCAAAAAAGAAACTGTTAATCTGGTTCCATAATTAACTTTCCTGTTCTATAAAGGCCCTGGGAGACAGTCCAGAGAGTGGCTGTCAACTCCCTGCTTCTCTATCCAATAACTCTTTTCAATAGCATTCCATGGCTCCAGGTGGGGCATTGGTCTGCATTTCTCTTTTTCTGCTTTTCCTTCTCCTTTATCCACACTCAATAAACATTTAGTGACCATCTACATTGAGTCAGGTACTATGATGATCAGCTGGGGAGAGATAAATCTTTGTGGCGTTGTCAGAGAACATAAGTAACATATCATTCCGTTTATTCATTCAAGGGACCTTAGGTTTCTACACTATAGTGCAGACATCATGCTAAACACAAAAGTGACTTAATTAGCATTCAAGAATTCTAAAGTGAAGAGGGGGCTTCTGATTAGGCCATAATGGTTGGCTTCATGGAAAAGATAACATTTAAGTTGGTTTTGGCTCCTAGGATATTTGTGAATATGTATGAAATGCTGGAGGGACAGGCCAACTCATACAAGCGTAAGCATATAGAATGGGAGTTAAATCTGAGGACTAAAGTTAGACTCCTTTGGTCTGACAGTGAGTTTGCACTAGTATTTAATGCTAAAAAATTTGAGTTCTGCTATGTACTGTGCTAAGTACTTTTCATCTATTATCTCAGTAGAACATCAGAAAGCTAAGTAGTGATTACTGGTAACAAGTTACAGACAGAAAACAGAACCAAATAAGAACAAATGGCAGAGGTAAGACTTGTATCCACGCCTGATTTCAAGGCAGGCTACTTCACAACACCATCCAATTAGAAAAAAAAAACCTAAGAAGGATTAGATAACCATCAAGTAAACAACCAATCATCAACTGCTTCATGCAATTATGTATTTGTTTAGTACTCCCTGAAAAATAGCACCGAGATACAGGGATAGACAAAGGACAGGCAACGTCTTTGTCCCCTTGAAGCTTATATTCCAGTAGCCTCACACTGAAGTGCTTCACTCCCACAAAGTGCACAAGAGAAATTGCAAAGATCAAGCCAGAGTTCTCTAAACTGATGCCCCAAGGGGAAGACTACCCATGTAATGACCTTTCTTGAGCTCTACCCAGAAATCTTGGATGGGACTCATCTCCTCATTTTCTTTAAGAGGAATTTGTCCCCACCATTCTCTTCTCACTCAAACTACTGCCTGGGATTTGATAACTCATTTTTCCAAATCCATTTTCAACCCTAACCTCAAAGAATCCACAAGCATAAGGGAAATTGCTATTTTTAGCCCACTCAACAAACTTAAATAATTTTCAGAGATGCTGAGGTTCTTATAGGTTTTAGGTTTGAGAAAAGCTACAGATAAACCCTAGTATTAACCCTGGACTTGACTCCAGGCCTACCCAAGAAAACTACTCCCAGCATTTACCAAATATGGCCTGAAACCTGGTCCTGTTCTTGGAGTTGGACCATTTCCAATAGGTGTTAGGAGGGGGCTGGGCAAAGATTTGGCATAATTGCAGATATTTTGAACAGGGCTAGATTCCTGACTAGGTTAGGACTATCTAAGTCATTCATGGAAAATGGCACCTGGGTTAGGATTTGAAATTTACAAGGGAGTGGGCATGATAAGGAAACATCACATCCTTTA